TTATATTTAGAGGCTTGCCCATGACAAAAGGCTCAATTCACAAAGCTTTAACACACGGATCGTTCGTTCAACCATGTGATGGTATTTTTTAAATCTTGTTGGACTCATCTGAAAATAACTCAGTTTTTTAAATAAAGGATCCTTATCCTGGTGGGCTAAAAGGATCCTTGTGTAAGCAAAAGCAATCCAAACTCCAGGGCTATGTGGACCTGCGTCAATCAGCAATCTTTGATAACACAATCACTCAGAGAGGCCGCCGTCTTGGATGCAATTGACAAACTTCCTCAAAGTACAAGCAAAAAAGAACATAAAGACAGCGCCTTCTCCTGGTGTAATAACATTTATTAACAATGGTATCAAGCATAATACATAAAACTACTCACATATTCCATAAGGAACAAAGTGTATATACTCCAATCCTAGAACACTAGGTTTCACCGTACTGACAGTCAAGGGGAGGAATGACCACCACAGGTCTATACAGAAGGACCTCTAACACATTTTGGGGGTGATTCTCCCTTCTTCAGGCTCATTCTTCTGTATAGACCTGTGGCAGTCATTACTCGCCTTGACTGTCACTATGATGAAGCCTAGTGGTCTAGGATTGGAGTATATACACTATGCTCCGTATGGTATATGTGAGCAGTTTGATGTATTATGCTTGATACCATTGTTGATAAACATTATTACACTGTAAGAAGGTGCTGTCTTTATGCTTGTTTTCCTTATCCTGGTGTATTAAAAGGATACTTATCCTGGTGTTCTTTGGGAATTGTACCCTAACCATTTGAGTACCAGCCTGTTTTTGGACCTTTCATTACTATGTCATTGTTAAGCGCTGTGATAGCTTGACTGAAAATGACTTGGCCATGCAACACTCTACCCAAATGAAAGCCAAAATCAGGCTTGCAGCGAGTGTCCCTGACCTGATGGGCTGAGAGGAGTGGGAGTTCAGCTGGGGTTAAAGGAAGGTGATTTCGCACATTGAACGGCATAGGTGTGGTGGGACTTTAAAGCTCCACAGAACCAATGGGAGGACAGGCAGTGGCCAAGTGTCTGTAGAACTGCACTATGATAGTTTGACTGAAAATGACTTGGTCATGCAACATTCTACCCAAATGAAAGCCAAAATCAGGCTTGCAGTGAGTGTCCCTGACCTGCAGGGCTGAGAGGAGTTGGAATTCAGCTGGGGTTAAAGGAAGGTGATTTTGCCCAGTGAATGGCACAAGTGTGGTGGGACTTTAAAGTTCCGCAGAACCAATGGGAGGACAGGCGGTGGCCTAGTGTCTGTAGAACTGCAAGCTCTAAAAGGTTTTATCCCCCTTCCTCCCACCATACAGCACAGCAGTGGTGCTATTACAGTTATTGGTTTACAAACCCTTTGCCACACATCTTTATTGTTTTGGTTGTGTACTTATCTTGTTCGGATGAAGCTGCCCTTTAAGAGCTCATTCCTCTCTCCGCCGCTCATGTATTACTGACACGCTTATAAATATTGATGCAATTTATATGAGAGATACTTGACATCCATTTCATGCTTATCACATTGCTGTCAATAGCGTTCTTCAATGTCATCATAAAGCCAAGGTGATTTTTTTTCATTTTCTTTATGTACGTTAACCAAATTGACATAAAAAAAACCCACCAAAAACAACATCATGACCTATTGATCCCCCCCCCCCGCCCCCACGTGATAGTGTGGCCTTCATGGGGAAAATGTTTTTCATAAACTCGCAGCAGGTATTGCGAGTCTTGATGAGCACAATGCATTGCAAATTCAATCTTCGCCTCATAAATGCAAAGAGAAACAAGCTTGAGAAAACAGCAATAGGATCACGGATAATCGCGCAAATACAAAACGCGTTAACAGATGTGATGGAAATGGGGGAAGATGTTAAAGGCCAACTCCACTCAAGTTTGGGATAGAGCAGGAAAGCGATAGACCCTCTACAAGGGTTTTGCCACTGCCTGTGTCCCTGTAGGAGGGATTTATCAATCCCTACCCCAATGACTACCAATATCAGGACAGGAATGGAGGAACAAAGTCAGCAATATAACTATTTTATCTTTCTCATTCAATCCAAAACCTTTTTTTTCGTCTTGCACACACAGCTTTTCTTTGTTCCCAGCAGGGATGGAAAAAAAAAAAAAAGGTACAATATATGGCCACATTTTTGATCATAAGACCTGAATAAGCTTGTTGGACCTTCCATTCCAAAACCATGGCCAATATGCCCCTCATTTGAAGCTATGCTCTACTCTTCTAGAAAGACAAATTCCACAAGATGTTGGAGTGTCTCTGTGGAAATGGTGGAAATGTATGCCCATTCATCAATAGTATCACTCATTTAAAGGAGAACTATGGGGTCAGGGCTTTTCCCCATAGTTCTCCTAAGGGTAACGGGAGGACACAAACTAGCGTCCTCCCTTCACCCAAAGCTCAGTATACGCCGAGCTATACTGAGCCGCCGCAGCCGGTATGGATCCCGACAATTCTGTCTGGATCCTCCCAGCTGCATGAGTGACAGCTGTCTCTGCCTATCTAGAGGCAGAGCCAGCTGTACCCGCCCCCTCCCCCGTCCGTTCCGCCAGTCAGCATTGGAGGATCGGACAGGGGAGGGGGATCCCTGCAGGGAGCCGTGAGTGACAGCCACGGCTCTCTGCACTGATAGATCGGCTCTCTGCACAAATAGATCGAGCATATCTACTGAGCCGACCTGTGACAGTTTCATTGTCACAGGTCGCCTCATAATTCTCATTTAAGAAGCACTGCCTTTTATATATTTATTTTATTTTTGCATTGGTACATGTTCACTAGGGATGAGCTTCAGGCTGCTGGAGACTGTGCTCTCCCTTGTGATTTTGTACCGGACAGGAGGTTCAGGGAAGCCGAGCTGAGAGAGTTGGGGCTGTTTGGAAACATGATGATTGCAAGTGTTTGGGCAAAAATGTAAATAAATACTTTGCTGAGCGATGTATATTTGTTTGATCTGGCTTCATTATTAATATATAATATAATACTAGACATGTGCGATTCGTTCCGAATCAAAATACGGACACAATTTCGGAAATTCAGAGATTTGTATGTATCCGAATTCCAAATTACAGAATAAATGATTGCAAACGAATCCGAATTTCCGATTCTGAAATTCGCTAGCGGTATTCTGTATAAAATTTTGTTTGTTGGATGAAATTTCGTCAAAATATTTTTTTACAGTCTGCCGAAGAGGGAAAAAAAAGCGTGTGGTTCCCCCCCAATTCATACCAGACCCCAAGTTAAATAAAAAGTGTGTGGGTTTCCCCCCAAAACCCATACCAGACTTTAGGTCTGGTAGGAATTTTAAGGGGGAACCCCAGCCCCCAAAAATGGGAAAAAATGTTGAGTCCTCCCTAACATTCCTACCAGACCCTCGATCCGAGCACAGGCCAGGCAGGGCAGGAAAGGGGCAGGAAAGGCCATTGAGCGCCCCCCCTGCACCTTACCAGGCCACGTGCCCTTAGCACTGGTAGGGTGCCCCCATGCTGATGGGGACAAGGACCTCTTCCCCAAAACCCTGACCTGGTGGTTGTGGGGATCTGTGGGCAAGGGGGCTTATTTGCATTGGGGTACCCCTTTAGATAAGGGGGCACCCAGGTGCCCCCCCCTTTGTGAATGAGTAAGTACCCCTTACTCATTCACTAAAGGGTTAAAATTCAAAGTAAATAAACAAACCGCACTTTTTGAAAAAAATAATTTTGTTGAAAAAAAAAACCAAGCGCTTTTGTTGTTGTTTTAACTTGGGGGGTCCCTCCTAACATTCCTACCAGACCTAAAGGGTCTGGTTTGAATTGGGGGGGGGGACCTCACACTTTTTTATTCTCTTCTGCAGACTGGAAAAAAAATTCTCTAATGTCACTTTGCTACAACTAAATTTCGTGCAGACTACTGCTAACGAATTTCGTCGGTTGACTTTCAGACCCGAATCCCGAAAAACGGAATAACGCAAAATCCAAATCAAAGGGAAACTAAAAACAATTTTTTTTGCCAGTGCACATTTATATATATAATACTACTTTAAAAAATAAAGAGGTATATTTTCTGACTGAGGTGAGTGTAAGTAACAAGACTGGCTGAACAGACGTTCTTAAAACTAAAACACTTGCCATGTATGTTATCTATTTAGCTGGTACGCTGATTTCAGCTATATTGCCAAGAATATATATATATACACATTCTACGTATCTGCAGTCTCTGTTTCTAGCATTTAACAAACACAGAAACCATTCTGTCATATTTAATGCCATTCTTCTTGTGTTCCGCAATGCTGAAGGTAGATAATATAAATGGCCTTTGTTTTCTCTCATTCTTCGATTTACATAACCCTGTAACACAATGAAAAGCCGCGGGGACGTTTCTCTTTGCATAGATAACTATTACTCCCCTATTAAAAGCCATTTAAATGGAAATATACAGGTTACAGTTCCCGCTGACTGTAGTGCGGAACCGCTCCGAGAATGCGAGGGGCTCAACTTTAACAAAGCCCGACTGAGATGGCTTGCCAAATCAAATCATTTAAAGCTGAAGACCGTCAGCATCTAAACTTTCATTGAAATATATTCCTCATTAGCCACAAAGGATATAAATTAATTTTTTGTGCCTTTCCAAACCCAGATATTATCTTTTTTTACAAAGAAGTGACATCATCACTGTTCTGTACATGGCCTATGCAGAGAGAAGAACTGTGGGAGGAGCCAGCAAGCCACACTCACTACTGGAAACTACAGGAGGGGGGGGCGGAGACGAGACCAGTCACCCTGCACAAGTAGAGAGAACAGCAGTAAGCGGTCTTTATTACAGGAAACTCCAAGTGTCACAATGGATTACTGCACACATCTGGAAGAAATACAAAGCTCACCAAGATTTAAGGAAGAGATTTTTTAGGACACTGGTATTCAGACAATGTTTGCTTTAATATGCCTTACTCTGTGAAAAAACTAAAAAGAAGTTTTGGCTTCATATACCCGGTAACACTCAGCCAGTACTGAAAAAAATATATCAGTACTCGATACCGAAAAACCAGTACCCTATTTCACCAGGGAGCATGGAGCTGGCTTCCCGGCCAATCAGGAAGCCGGGGGGCGGGTAATGACTTGGAGGGGAAGCCAGCTCCATGCTCCCTCGCCACCTGGGGACAAAGGAGCATGGAGTCAGCTTCCTGGCCAATCAGGAAGCCGGGCGGCAAGTCGTTACCTGTCCCCCGGCTTCTTAATTGACCAGAAAGCCAGCTCCATGCTTTTTCATCACCTGGTGATGAGGAAGTATGGAGACTGCTTCCCGGCTAATCAGGAAGCTGGGCGGTGAGTCATTACACGACGCCCAGCTTCCTTAATAGGACTTGCGGTATCGGTATTCGGCATCGGCAAGTACCAGAAAAATATTGGTACTCGTACTCGATACCGGAAAACCGGTATCGTTGCATCCCTAATTTTTATTATTTACCTAGGTAGGATAATTTGGAAAATAAATATGAAAATGTGCAGAGGTGTACATTGTGTCGACAAGTGCGTTGTGTTTATATCACACGGTAATTCTGCTCTCTTCATATTATCCCCTTTCCACTTGTACTAGATCCAAGGACGCATATGCAAAAGGATCGGCTTTGTTTTGTTCTTCACTTATTATTTGCCTGGACAAAGAAGGAGAAGAGAGGAAGATTTAAACAACCCTCACCTGATGTAATAGTCATTGCGGATCAGAAGGAAGTGCTGCAGGATGGAGAGGAGGTAAGACTCCGAAGGGGTGTCCTTCATCATATTGTACAGGAGATGGTAGACTTCGCCAATATCAGTGAAAAGAGTTAAGGAACATTAACACATGAATGAGATGTAAACACCTTTTATACCATTAAATCTGCTTTCAAACCACACAAAGCAAAACAAAAGAAAGTATTGTGAAGGCTTCTCTTGAAGCACAATTATAGAAAAACATCTAGATACATTGTTCAAATGCATAGACCTTCCACAACATTTGTAATTCTTTCTATCCATTTTTCATTCTTTCAGCCTTGCTATATGGCATGGCCAGGCTCCTGGCCTCACTTTTCTGCTGTGCAGGTAAAGCAACATATACTGGTTAATGACCTGCCCCAGCCTGTGATTGGATAGTGTAGGAGCTCGACAATGAGGTCATCCATGTGCTCTACTCCCACCAGCAAGGTCTGTGTGGTAGAGTTGGAATGGCTGAGAAGCAGGATATTACAGCAGTAGGACATAAAGAGTGACTGAAGGGTTATCTTCATAGCAGTGCTGGTCTCTTCACCTAAATTACATAGTTCAAATGCATATGGACCTTCCAAAGCATTTGCAATACTTTTTTGCAATGTTTTAGCTTCCATCGCCCTTGCCAGATGAAACAGCCAAGCCCCTGACCTCACTTTTCTGCTGTGCAGTTAAAGCAACATAGCCTGCAAGGACCTGCCTCGACCTATCAATGAGGTAATCCATGCGCTCTACTGCTATCAGCAAGCTCTGTGTGACAGCACGGTGCAATGTGGTAGAGAAGGAATGGCTAGTAAGCAGAATCTTAAAATAATGATATTTCAGACCAAGGGTAGGCAACCTCCATACTCCAGCTGTGGTGAAACTACCAATCCCATTATGGGAGTCATGCCTGTGGCAGTCTGATTCTTACAATGCCTCATGGGATTTGTAATTTTACCAGAGTTGGAGTGCCGAGGTTGTCCATCTCTGTTTTAGACAAAGGTGGAGTTTAACTGTGTAAAGCCAGCCATACACCTATAGATTATCTGCAGATTTTCTATGGCCAGGTGGGAAAAGTCCAACAGATTCCTCCATCTTTGCTAAACTGTGTGGATGGAAAAATCTCCCGCTGGGCCAAGCTTCAGTATCTTGGTAGTCAGCCCCTCTGGCTTTCAAAATACCTGAATAATCTGATTGGATGCAGGCATTGTTCAGATAATCTATAGGTGTATGGCCAGCTTTAGTCACCCATGGGCTGCTTACGGTTTTGGCAACTCCACATGACAGAAATCTTCCATTTTGGGTTCTGGGTTCTCTTACTGAACACCATGGAGTTGTGGCTGGTCCCACCCACCTTGGGGTGTTTCCACTTTTTATTTAGATCTGTGGGATCAGCACTGTCCAGCCCTCACTACTCTGCCAATGAGCAGAGCATCTGATGGACATAGGAAGAAAAGAGGTTTCACAATGGCACATGCAATGAGCTTTCCAATAAGCTATAGCAAAGGTGATCACTACTACGTGCCAGGTATGACTTCAATCTTTGCAACAAGTATTGTCCTTAAAGTGAACCTATCTGTTATCATCTTGTCCAACATTGTTGTCCACAGCCAGTATAAAAGGATGCATAGCCAATGGTGAGGCCATGAAAATCCAAAATGAAGAGTTAGAGTTAGGAGCCATGCCATACAGCGGGGCATTGGCAGGGCAGTATGGCTTCCACATAGATTTGCAAATATATGCCATCAACACCACCATGTTTCATACAAAGTGTTTAAGAACTGCTAGCTTTTTCTTTCATTTTGGTTCTGGCAGCTGAACAACGGGTGCTTGCAGGTTACCAATGATGGTAGACATGACCGGTTACTTTTAAGACAACCATTGTTTTGTTGTAGGATCACAAATCTCTTACTCCTCAATCAGTAAAACAATAGCACCTGTTGTCTGTCATTTTCTGTTTCCCGATACAACACACAATTTTATTAAAAACCAGGTGGTGTTCTCCCTTCAAATTCTCTGCATTGTGAGATCAGTAATAGCTCTATTGCCAGGATTACCAGGCCCACCCTTGTCTACATAGTGCAGATACGATAGCTCCTCACTCCCCATTCATTAAGCCAAAGTGGATAACGCTGCGGCTTTATTTCCTATCCCCGTTTTCCCGCTGAGCCGGTCGGCAGTGAACACAATGTAAAGTTGTGGATGTATGTTCATGCATAGTCTGATCCACACTTATCAGCTCTTCCTGTTGACACAGACAGGATACAATCTAAATTGATTTCTTTCTCAGCTGTGTGCCCGCCTGTGATGGCGCTGCTTAGATTATTCCTCGTGCTGGGCTTTTGTTTTCTGATTTTCAAAGGAGAAACATCATTCGGTTGTGAAAACAACTGTTTACTCAGGAGGTTTTTAGCCTGGTGCAATTCTTCCTACCGACCATGAAAAAGGATTGCTTCTAATGATGCTTTGTCTTTTACAGTGTTACAATGTATACTTAACTGCAGCTCAGATCAGGAGGAAAATCAGAGAGAAAGAGGTTGTAGAGAAAGGCCCTAAAGGTACTTCACAATGCTTTTTGGTGTCCACCCTGAGTTACATATCAAACAGGTTCATCTGGGATACCAGGAACAACTGGAATACAAAATAAGACCCAAAAGAATGGGGTACCAGACTACTGAGAATGATTATTGATGCTTGGAGGGGAGTTCCAGAACAATTACACACTAACACTAAGGATCCCAAGAACAATGATTCACTGAAATGTAGGGGTCCCAGATCAGAAACACACTGGTCACTTAGGGTCCTAGAACAATGACTGACACTTGGCATCCTAGAAGAAGAAAACACTGACCCTTGGAGTACTAGAACAATGACACACTGAATCTTGGGGTCCTAGATCAATGACATTTGGCGTCCTAGAACAATTGACACTTGGGTTCCTAGAACAATGAAACATTTTCACTTGGGATCCTAGAACAATGACACACTGACACTCGGGTCCCTAGAACAAAGACACAATGACACTTAGGGTCCTAGAATAATGACACACTGACACTTGGGATTCTATAACAATGACACACTGACATGTGGGGTCCTAGAATAATGTGACAACTACACTTGGGGTCCTAGAACAATGACACACTGACACTCTGGGCCTCAGAACAAAGACACAATGACACTTAGGGTCCTAGAACAATGGCACACTGACATTTGGGTTCCTAGAACAATTAAACATTTTCATTTGGGGTCCTAGAACAAAAATATTTTCACTTGGGGTCCTAGAATAATGAAACAATGACACTTAGGGTCCAGAACAATGACACACCAACTCTCGAGGTCCTAGAACAATAGCACACTGACACTTGGGGTCCTAGAACAATGACACGCTGCCACTTGGGGTCCTAGAATAATGAAACACTGACACTTGTAATTCTAGAAGAATGACACTGACACATGGGGTTCTAGAACATTGACACACAGACCCTTGGGGTCCTAGAACATTGACACACAGACCCTTGGGGTCCTAGAACAATGACACACAGACCCTTGGGGTCCTAGAACATTGACACACAGACCCTTGGGGTCCTAGAACAATGACACACAGACCCTTGGGGTCCTCAAAACAAAGGTGCACTGACACTTGAAGTCCCAGAACAAAGACTGATCAATTGACATCCACGTTTTGTAAATCAGTCCATAGCAATAAAACATTTACAGTGTATGTAATTTAGGTCCTGAATTAACTGTCACAAGAGGAGATCCTTCCACCAGTTATACGGCTGTACGGGTTTGTTCTTTGTGGGTTGACGTCAGAGTGTTCTACCAGTTAAAAGCCAGACAGCACCGGTCCCACCCACCAGTATAAACTGATGAAGCAGTCGGCATCTACCTGACAATCATCTTTTTTTTTTTCATTTTCCACAATGAAGTAATAAAAGTTTTATCTCTTGTTTTTAGAGCGTCTTTAGGGTGCAGAGAACGCTTAAAACTATGATTACTTAACCGCTTCCCAAGATGAAAGGCTGACCTGCTCGTCTCCGACAAAATGGATCACAAAACAAATATATGACACAGGTAAAATGTTATGAGAAGGATATTCCATCTCAGCCCGAATGTCCCTGAGGCGATGGGAGAGTTCCAGCAGGTCATCTTCTTTATTCTCATCAAACACTTTCAGCTGAATATCAAGCTCATCGTTCTCCTTTTCTTTTAGGTGCTGAAGAAAGTTAGAATGAAATATCAAAACACAGAGGACAAATCACAAACTCACAGATCTGGCATGAGGAAAGAAAGAAAGAAGGAAAGAAGGATAGATAAGGAAAGGAAAAGGGATAGAAGGAAAGGGAAAGGGAAAGGAAAAGGAGGAAAGGGAAAAGAAAAAGGAGGAAAGGGAAAAGGAAAAGGAGGAAAGGGAAAAGAAAAAGGAGGAAAGGGAAAAGGAAAAGGAGGAAAGGGAAAGGAAAAGGAGGAAAGGGAAAGGAAAAGGAGGAAAGGAAAAGGGGGAAAGGGAAATGAAAAGGAGGAAAGGGAAAGGAAAAGGAGGAAAGGGAAAGGAAAAGGAGGAAAGGGAAAGGAGGAAAGGGAAAGAAGAAAGGAGCGAAGGGAAAGGAAAAGGAGGAAAGGAAAAGGAAAAAAGGGAAAATAAAAGGACAAAAGGAGGAAAGGGAAAGGAAAAAGAGGAAAGGGAAAGGGGGAAAGGGAAATGAAAAGGAGGAAAGGGAAAGGAAAAGGAGGAAAGGGAAAGGAAAAGGAGGAAAGGGAAAAGAAAAAGGAGGAAAGGGAAAAGGAAAAGGAGGAAAGGGAAAGGAAAAGGAGGAAAGGGAAAGGAAAAGGAGGAAAGGGAAAGGAGGAAAGGGAAAGGAGGAAAGGGAAAGAAGAAAGGAGCGAAGGGAAAGGAAAAGGAGGAAAGGAAAAGGAAAAAAGGGAAAATAAAAGGACAAAAGGAGGAAAGGGAAAGGAAAAGGAGGAAAGGGAAAGGAAAAGGAGGAAAGGGAAAGGAAAAGGAGGAAAGGGAAAGAAGAAAGGAGGACACACCCTGGAAGTGGAGTGAGATACTTGTTTACTTGTTTAATTGTTTAATTGTTTATTTGTTACTTCTTAAATTGTTTAAGTCTTAAAATAATGGTTTAGACATGCGTATGTATACGTTTCACCCTAGGGATACATATGCCCATGACTAAACCCCGTGTGAGCTTTCTATCGATACATACAGTTTAGTCACTAAAATAAGTGTGCAGAAAACGGGGTGAAAAATTAGATGGACAGGCAATTCTCTTTACTGAAGGTTTGTGTACTGCCCACCTTGAGGAATCTACCAGTAGTAAAATGGAGTCCTGGAGGGACTGCGAATGCTCTTAACAAACCTTTGTCCTGATGATCCGAGGTTGTGGTACTTTAACCCCCTAACAATAGAAGCTAACATGGGAAAATGTTTTGATTATTGACCTGTTTCCTTCTCTGTATATTTCACTCTTGATGTCCATTTGATATATATGATTCAATATGTTGTAAATCCTATACTACTTGTATGAAAAATAAAAAAGTTTATTCATAAAAAAAAAAAAAGAATTTTGCAATGCGGGACAGACCTTTGTCTTGCCACCAATGGAA